CCACATGAGAAAAACTTTGCTTTCTACTACTGCCCTTAGCAGTTACCATCTCAGAAACTCACAGGGTGTTTCTGACTTGATCATGGCAGTGAGAGTTTTTTTTGTTTGGGAACAAATGATGGAGAAGTTCAATATCAGCATCTAAAACCAGGCCAGGGACTGTTATGGGACAGACCTTGCATTACTCCGATAGAAGTTCCGGTTGAAGCTGAAGAAAATGAAAACAAGCACACAAGAGCCAATATATGACCTTGAGTCTATCCCATGTGCATTTGGAGGACATCTCAAGAACAGATTGGCTACATTGACGGAAGCACTTCTGAGGAGCTCCTTTCCAAAGCAGAGTGTGCCAACGTGACTTGAGTGGAAGAAAGCTGGTGGGAGTGGAGCCTGTGGGAGTGGCGCCTGTGGGATCTTCATTTGCTGACGGGGTGCAACTGCAGGTAAGAAGAAACTGCTGCAAGAATCTTCTAATAATTGAAATTTTGAATGCACGGATATCCATTCAGGAAAATTGGAAATCATCAAGAACTTCATCCATGAAGAAAGTAAAAGGTCATTAAAAAAGACAGGAAAGAAAGAAAAGATCAAATTGGATGTTGGCAGAGACTCTAAACTTGTTCCTCATCATTTGCTAAGGCAAATGGAAGAAAGGATGAAATCAAAGAGCTGAACAGAAAATTTCAAAGGGCAACTGGAGAAAACAAAGTAAAATACTATCATGAAATGTGAAAGATGTAAAGTTGGAAAACCAAAAAGGGAGAGTCCACTCAGCATATCTTAAACTGAAAGAACTCAAGGAACATTTAAAGCCCCGAGGGGCAATCTTGGAAACTTCTATGGGCAAAATATTGAATGATGAAGGAAGCATCAAAAGAAGATGCAAAGAATACACAGAGTCACTGTACCAAAACGAACTCCTTGACATTCCACCATTTCAGGAGGTAGTATATGAGCGTGAACCAATGGTGCTCAAGGAGAACATTCAAGCCACACTGAAAACATTAGCCAGAACCAGACTCCAGGAATTGATATAATGCAACGGAACGATTTCAACATGCTTATGAAGCACTTATTCACCTATGCCAGGAAATTTTTAAGACAAATACTTGGCCAATTGACTGGAAAAGCTCCATATTTGTACCCATTCCAAAGAAATATGATCCAATAGAATGCTCAAATCATAGAAAAATATCACTAATATCACATGCAATTTAAATTTTGCTGCATATCATCCAACCACCATTGCAGCTGTACATTGACAAAGAGCAGCCAGAAGTTCCAGCTGCATTCAGAAGCATATGTGGAACAAGCAATACTATTGCTAATGTTAGTTGTATCATGGCAAAAAGCAGAGCATACCAGAAAAATGTTTACTTGTGTTTTACTGACTATGCCAATGTATTCAATCACGTGGATAATCAAAAACTATAGATAGCCTTTGAGAAAAATGGGAATTCCAGAACACTGCATTGCACTCATGAGGAACTAGTTCATCGATCACAAGACAGTTGTTTGCACACAACAAGGGCAAATTGCATGATTTAAAGGCAAGAAAGGTGTGTGTCAGGGTTGTATCCTCTCATCATACTTATTCAATCTTTATGCTGAGAAAACAATCTGAGAAACTGGAAGGTTTATTAATAACCTTCAGTATTCAAAGGACACTATCTCGCTTGCTGGAAATATGCAGGACTTGAGGCCCTTGCTAATAAAAATCAAGTATTGCAGTCTTAAGTATGGATTACAACTCAATATAAAGGAGACCCAAATCCTTACAACTGGCCCAATGGAAAATATCAGGATAAATGTAAAAAACATTAAAGTTGTGAAGGGTTTTGTCTTGCTTGAATCCACAATCCATGCACAGGGAAGCAGCAGTCGAGACCAAAAGATGAGTTGCATTAGGTGAATCTACTGTACAATACCATGGCTTGGATAAGGTGCTTGTCACTTTGGAGACTAAGATGTACCTTATCCAAGCTATGGTATTTTTAATTGCCTTATTGTGCGTGAAAATTGGACAGTGAATAAGGAAGACGAAAGAAAAACTGATGTATTTGAATTGGGGTGCTGGCAAAAAATATAGAAAGTACCATGGACTGCTCAAAGGACAAACCAATCAGTCTTGGAAGAAGTATGGCCAGAATGCTCTTTAAAAACAATGATGGCAAGACTTTATCTCATCTACTTCATACATGTTGTCAGGAGAGACTAATACTGGAGAAGGACATTGTGGTAGTTACATAATCTGTTGTCAATTTGACACTTTAGTGTGAATGGGGTGGGGTTTAGACTGTCAATTGTATCAAAAAGAGTTGTACAATCATTACCACAATCAATTTTAGGACATATTCTTCTTTCTTTTACTCATTGTTATTAGCTCCTCATTTTCCCCCAAATTCCCTTGCCATACCTCTAAGAAACTATTCATCCAGTTACCTCGCTCTTTCTAAAAACATTCAACTTCTGAATTTTCATAACTTACTTCTTCTGTTTCCTCTCTCTGTTCACTCACGCACAGAAGTATTACATGTGCTCATCTTTGCTCCCTTAGTATCACTCCTTGATGTTCTTAGTCACTAGGCAAATCTTCAAAAACAATCGGTTATCAGCAAAAGGCTGTAATTTTGATGTGTCAAGGTACTGCATGGGTGGACCACAGACCTTTTTTCTCTTCCACATTGCTTTAAAAACAATGAAAGTCTTAATTTTAAAATCTAAATCTATGGTCATTTCATCATAATAGCAAATTCTGATCTCAGTTGAATTCAACCTGGAATCAATCTCCACGTAATCTTCAGCTGGCTCCACCTCACTGGAAGCTTTCTGCGCATTCTCTTAATTCACCTGTTCTTCTGGCCTCTGACACTTTTGTTGGCATCAGTTCCAAATGATGCAGCCCCCTCCTTCTTGTGTTGGCATTGTGACACCGAACTGGCAGCTGAAGAATAACTTTAAGTCAAAAAAATCTACCAAGATAACCAATTCTGCTAAGATCTCTAATAGATTAGAGATTCAAAGAACAAATTCTTTGAGAGAATAGGACTCTTATTTAATCCTTAATATTGGAAGCAGAGGAACCAACAGCCTCCGAATCTGAGCTGAGGAGGGAGTGCCAGTGGAAAGTGGAAGAAGACAAGTTCAGGTACACCAGCACAAAGAAACTGGTGGTTATGGTAGAAAATAATGCTAGCATTAACGGAAGTAAATCCTGAAGAGGCCCCTGAAAGTGCCCGTGGTTTGCTCTCAGCTAAGAATCTGAAGACGCATGGTTTGAACTCACCGAAAGGCACTCCGTGGCTCCAGCCCACAGAGCAGCTCTGTTCTGTGCCACACGGTGCCGCATAGTGACTGTGAGCTGGGACTGAGCAAGTAGCAACATGTATGGTAGTCAATTTGCTTTGAATCCCCAGAGGAGCAACCACATACACCCACCCCATCATTTCACTCATAGGTTATCAAACTTCTTTGGCCTACCATCCCCTTTTGGGAAAAAATACAACCGCAAAGCCCCTCTAGCAATGACAAACTTGTGTACGCTAGCCCGTCATCTAGAATAAAGTGGAAGTTTCTGCTTTTGTCACTTTCCGGATCATATCAGCATCCCCCAATGGGCTGGATCGCCCACTGTATCGCCCAACTCTGTTCCATCGAATATGCTTCTCAGGTTGCACAGGTGTACTCTGAGCATCATTCAATCCCAAACCTAGAGTGTTTTTACTATTTCCTCCAAGAAGTACAATTTAGCCTTCATTTAAACATAATTGATTGTCTGATAATGTTATGCTTTGTGTCTATCCTGGGTTGTCTGAGAACTGTCCCATGGATCAAAAGTTATGAATCAGGAAAGACAACTATACAGCCTCAGTGAGACCCATAACAGTGCTCCGAACGGATGCTGGCATTTAAGATAGATGACAAATGCCAATTCTGAGGCACTTCTCTGAGAGTCTTGTGTTTCCCATTAGAGAAATAGAGCAGCCTCCAACTAATTTGCAATTTTAAAATGGCAAATCCAACTCTTGGGAGAAAATTGAGTGAATCACAAGTGACTATTGCTTAAGTTTTACATGAGTAAATATATTGGCTGTGTTGGTATTATTCACAACTCAGAGCCACAAAATACATTTTTGTATCATTTTATTTGTAGAAGAATGACACAATTATTTTCAGAATAATTAACTCCTCAGTTTAGTGACAATTATGTTCCATTATAATAATTAAAATCACACCCTGCTATTTGGATGAACTCAATAGAATAATGATTTCTTAGGGGAAGATTTAATCGGATCATTATTTTTCTCTCCAGCACCAAAAGTATCTGTAAATTATTTTAGCTCCTTGTACTACTGCTTAATTTTACATTTGTTTGCTGTCCTGTTAAAAGAAATATCATAAGATGGTAGTCCCAACCTTCCCCCTGTCTTTAACCACCTGCATGTCACACGGACAGTGGAGAGAGTCTGGGGCTTTGCGAGATGTAGAGAAGCTGAGTGGGTGCCATGTCATGCTATAGAGAACGGGAGCATTTGAGTTCATTGCATTTGATCAACTAGTGGGCAGAATAGTGGTGTTTCAGAAGAATGCTCCATTGACCACAGAACGGAAGCAAGAAAGTGATGAAAGGTCAATAGCTTTCCCAAGAACAAAGCTGATAAGCACTTGGAAGGGTAATGATATAAAACTGGAATAATAGCAGCAAGATTAAGTATCAATCCTACCAAGACAGACACTGTATTGGTAGATACGGCTACTGCAATGTGTTATGTCTCATGAGTTATCTCAGATACTGATTACAGCACCTGAGAAATGACCAATCAAATTTACCTGAGACGCTGAGAAGTCTCCGCATGGAAAGTGTAAGCACGAGACATCAAGCCCAACGAGAAAGAAACAATAAAGGTCATCGGTCCACTGTGTCACATTGGGTTCGCTAGAGAAGCAAAACCTGCGACACTTGTATATGTCTGTCTACAGAAAGACCTTTATAGGGAGAGATGACCTGCACAGTTGTGGAAGAAGGTAAGTCTGGTCCGTTCAAGTAAGGCTTCTCTTGGCTTGTGTAGCTGTGGAAGCAGATGAATAAGAAACCTGGTGACAAAGCAGGGAGTGATACAGGTGGCTGGATACAGAGGCAAATGGAATCCGTTTCCCAAATAAATCCACCACTGGCAGTCTGTGGACAGCTTCAGGGTGACACAATCGGAAATCTATGAACCAGATACAGGAAAAAGTTCCAACAGTAAGCAAAAGACCAGACAGAAGTTGACTCTGGTTTCTCTCTGACCCAGAAGGTCACATCCTGAAGGAGGTGTTGTCCGGATGCAACAGGTTAAACAATTTGGGCTCCACCCCTCCCCTCACCCAGAAGAGTCCTGTTGACGTAAACTCTAACTCTCAAATCCACTCAGTTCTTAGATAAGGGTTAAGATGCTCTATGAGCCATTTTGAATGTATATCTGAGGAACAGAGACAAAACAATCACTTGTAGCCCAACAGTGACAGTTCTCTAGACTAAAAGCTCTGCACACACAGGAACCAAGTACCTAATGATGTCTGTCATATGGAGGTGTGATACCTTTGTGTTGAATGAAAATGAATTATAAGTGAATCAGTTAATGAAAAAAATGCAAATAGACTCCACCTCTTACAAAATTGCCAATCTCTATACACATGGGAACAAGTTCAGAAGTGATGGCTCTTCAATTGACACATTATTTTTGAGTTTTTCTTATCATTTTTACTCAATTATAGTGAATGTGCTTCTCACAAACTCATTCTAATCTCCATAAACCCAAGCAATCAAACCCATCGGCTGTGAGTCATTTCTGACTCAGAGCAATCCATCCATTAAAGAACAGAATGCATCCATAGGTTTTTCTTCATTGTAATCTTTGAAGAACCCTGATTGCCAGACCTCTCTTTCGTGGTAAGGTGTGGTGGGTTCCATTTCCTAACTCTTAGTTTAGTAGACTAGCATACTGTTTGCTCTACCTAGGTGTAGTAAACCACTGAGGATCTTGGGAGAGAGCAGTTTCCTTAGACATTAAGACAATAAAATAAAATGGGAATATGTGAAGTCTACTAAGACTGACCAGGATTAACCTTGTGGCTGCATTAGATGGGACACGGTGAGTAAGAATTTCTACTTGTTTGGACAGCAAAGAACCTAAGAAGATGAACTTGTACATTTTAAGAGAAATGTCTTGAGCCTTGGATTTGATTTCTTCATCTGCTTTCTTGGTTCCAATTATTTCACTTTCATCAAAGAAACTCAAAGGAACGTGGCTGAGAAAGGCCATTTTAAGGCAAGCTAAGGTGCTAAACACTGATCATTTATAGGGCCTTTCATTCTCCTCCTTCCCACATTCAAATGGGAGGTATGAAATATTTATGTATGTGGCTCCCTATCAATATAAAGATTGAAACTCTCAAAAACCCTAACAGGCCATTGCACTCCGCCCCTGTATGGTTTCCATGGGTTGATTCAATAGCAGTGAATTTAGTTTAAGACTGGTTATACACACACACACACACACACACACACATGCGCACACACACGCACACAAATAATTTTTTGTATATATGTTTTATGTAAATTCATGTCATAACTTCATTTTAACCATGATGTAACTTCATTTTACATGGCAGTATAATATTAGACTCCAGGTGTAATATTGAAAGATTATATGGGCAAAATATTGAATGACACAGAAGCATCCAAAGAAGATGGAGCAAATAGACAGTTGCTGTATCAAGAAGCACGAGTCAGCATTCCACCCTTTCTAAAGGTAGTGTATGAGCCAGAACCAGTGATGCTGAAGGACGAAGTTCAAGCTGCACTGGAAGCATTTGTCAAATACCAGGCTCCAGGAATTGATAGAATGCAAATTGAAAGGTTTTAGCAAGCTGATGAAGCACTCACTTGTCTATTCAAAGACAATGGGACACAACTACTTGGCCAACTGTCTGGTAAAGAGCTATATTTGTACCAATTCCAAAGAAAGTTCACCGAAAGAACATGAAACATGTAGACAAATATCCTCGGTATTACATGGAAGTAAAATTTTGCACAAGATCCTCCACAATATGTGCAGCAGTACATTGATAGGGAGTTGAGAGAGGTTCTGGATGGATTCAGAAGAGGATGTGAAACAAGGAATAATATTGCTGATATCAGATGAATTTAGCTAAAAGCAGAGAATACAAGAAAGATAATTACTTGTGTTTCATTCATTATTCAAAGGCATTTAACTGGATGGATCTTAAAAAAAACCACATGAATATTCTTGAGAAGAACTGGGATTTAAGAATACTTCATTGTGTTCATTCAGAACCTGTACACAGATCAAGAGGCTGTTGTTCATACAGATTTAAAATCTGTATGATTTTAAATTGTGCATCGGGGTGGTATTCTCTCACAATGCTTATTCAATCGTCATGTTGAGCAAATAATGAGAGAAACTGGATTATATAGAGAAAAGTGTAGCCTCAGTTTCAGACAAAGGCCATTGACAACCTGGGAGATGCAGAAGACACAACCTTGCTTGCTGAAAGTGAGGAGGATTATCAGGAGCTACAAATCCCTGGAAAAGGACATCATGTTTGGTACAGTGGAAGGACAATGACAGAGAGGAAGGCCCTGGTCGGGTGGATTGACAGTGGCTGCAACAATGGGATCAAACACATGAACAAGTATTTCATTCTCTTGAACGTAATGTTGCTATGAGTCAGAACTGATTGATGACACCCCCACATAGGGAGCTAGGCTAAAGGTAGACGCGAGGTGATGCGAGAATGATGGTGAAAGCCAACTATCCAGGTACATAGGCCCATGAAAATGATAGAATCATTCGTATGATTTTCAAATATTGAACACAAAACAGGCATTTGAAGAGGGATAGGGAGTCAACTCTGTTGGAGGAGTGAATCAGAAAAGGAATGCCTTACTTGGCGAGGATCATTAGAAGGAAAGGCAAGTGTGATACACAACCTTTACGTGTTATTCTGTGAACACCGGGGGTTGCGTGACTATATTTTCAATTTAAGCATAAAATGCTGGAAATATGCAAAAGATTAATTTGAGGAAGGAAAATCTCAAGCCAGAAAAAAACCACTAGTTGATCATAAGGATAATCTACAAAAAAGAAATTTGAGGACTTCAACAAACTTAGAAAGATTTGAAGTGTCTTTAGAGAGTTATAAGCAAAAATAAAATAAACTTGTTTCCATGGCAAGAGGTCTAAAAGTTATACAGAAGTCAAGAATAATTTCCAGGTTAATTAGGTTGCACAGGTGGATCAAAGTGACACCAATTGAATCAGAAACTGTTAAAGAGGGAAGTGAGGAGTTCTGCTTTGAGTAAAGATGCCTACAGAATATCCACCTATGTCTGACATGTAATTAACTCAATGAATCCAAAGTTCCATGGAAAAGAACTGAAAGCACCAATTTGGAAGTCATTAGAATAGAGACAGTAAAAATCCTTAAAATGTGTAAGCTAATTCAGGGGAGAATCTAGAGAACAACATTTAACCAAGTACCAAATTAAAGTAATGAAGCTATTTAAGTATTGTACAAAGAAAGAAAAGCCTATGCATTTAATAAATATTAAATGAATTTTATCCAGGTCAATATTCTCCACCTTCCATTTCACTGTGTAATCCACTGCAGTATGATTTCTGCCAATAGTATATTTTTAATTAAGTTTTCATCTTGAAGTACCACAGAATCACATGCAGTTGGAAGACATGTCACAGGGGTACCTTGAATATTAAGTAGAAAGACTTGGTGGTACAACAGTTGAAGGCTTGTCTGAAGACAAAACGTTGGAAGTTCGAACACACCCAGATATTCTTGGAGAGAAATATTTGACAGTCTGCTTCTAGAAAGGTTAGAGTTCTATTCCGCTCTTAATAACGCTGTTGGGGTAAAACAAGTTATGTTCTGTCACTTAGGGACTCTGTGAGTTGGAAAGGACTCAAGAGCATCCAACAACGACGACTTACACAGGATTGACAATGGAAACATCTTGCACACTTTTATCGTACAGATGGCTTTCTCTTGGACTTTATGACCAAACTAACTTTTCTCTTGTACCAATCCCCCCTTGGAAACCTTCAATCTGGTCTCCAGTTACACACACACACACACACAAACACACGCACATGAAATCAAGTATACAGGTATTTCTACTAGAATTTCAGTTGATATATGTACGTTTATTGCACCCAATATCTGTCTAGATATGTCTCTGCAATTAGCGGATGGCTATAGCCATCCTCACTGTGGTGCACCTGTTAGGGTGCCTACAAAAAATACTCACGGTGAAAAAAAAATGACGCTGAGGTTAGGGTAAATATCAAATTCTTAATAAAATGTAAGTGAATATCTTACTAAGTCATTGAGGCTTTGCAGCACTTTACAGAAACGAGGAGCCCTGTGTTAAATAGCAATTTTAAATGGAGCAAACATTTTAAGGAAGTTCGTGAAGATTGTGTGAAGACTCTTTCTGCCATATTTGATTGTCTCAGAAGAAGCAGGACTACCAAGGAGGCTCATGATACCTTTAAGAAAATTAAAAAACTGCATTGGTGAGAAAAAAGGACAGATTGCTTTGTGAGAAAGTTGCACCAAGGAATGGATCAGGACCGACACAAATTCTGCTCACCTCATCTCTTTCTGGGTTTGTTGTGCTATGTAAAGATGCTCTTCTGGGCTTCTCATACCCGGATGTAACTGCTATCCTGAACTGGCTGCTCTCTGCCAGGCCAGCATGCAAGGCACTGATGAATCTCCACATTGCAACTGCTTTTCGTTACAACTTTCCCTTCACAGCTGCTCTGTCCAATTCGTCAGCATTCAGGGATACAGGTCATTCTATGTACTCATTTCACTTAGTTTCTTGAGATTTGTTGCAAGTTGTAACATTAGGATGTGCCTCAGATGGTAAACCACAATGTGAACGGAAAGCCCTCAGACATTTTCAGCGCTTAGAAATGTTATTATATTTTTATTTTAAG